CACCATGTTGTGCAAAAATGCACTGTGATCAGCTACTTGATGATGAAGCTCACATTCATGTCCACAACGAGGGATCCTTCAGACCCAATATGCACATTCATAGATGTCTGAAAAGCAGAACTAAGCCACGTTATTTCAGTCGGCATAGGTCTGCAGGTGAAAGAGAATACGCCTATCACATTCCTTCCAGTATCGATGGCAGCATCCACAGCTCACATACAGACAGTCCCCACAGTACGCATGATAGCCAGTCAGGTCACAGACGGGCCTGCTGCTCAAAAAGCGATCCATATCCTACTGTCAACCAGCCCGAAAGTAGTGACGCAAGTACTGTAATATATAGTTGTGCTAAAATGCCAGAAAGTGACACTGTGCACCACCCAGCTCATTTTGAGATGCACCCGCGGACACAGTCATTGCCATTTAATACAACGAATCACAACGGAATTCTCAAGGGAAACGTGCATGAAGCCATGATATACAGCTCAGATAGTACAGGAAATATCAAAACTGGCCCTTGGAAAAATGAAACTACTGTGTAGTTCGTTGGCCATCATAATGTGTTTTTCCCCCCAAACCATCATTATCTTTGTTTTTATTCCAAACTAAATAAGATCACATATTTGTGTAGCTCATCAGTAAGCTTTTCCATCTTTATTTCCATTTTCTTAATAAGAGTCTAAATGAGGTAGTAACAGTTTTAAAGTGAAGTTATTTTTAAGAGAAAGTTATAAAATTATTCTGAAAGATAATTAGAAAATGAAGTCTAGACAATTGAATATGAGAGGCAATATCCTTTTGTTACACAGAACATTTCTTTAAAATACATAATTTTCATTCATTGTTTTCACTTTTATTCTATAGTAACTTCAGACACATTTTATAAACATATCAGCATCTTAAACTTTTACTTATTTATTTTTGTAGCAAAATATTATTACTGTGCCATGGATTTTAATCAGAAGTGTCTATGATAGAAATGATAAGCAGGATTTTATAAAATTGCAGCTTTTTAGATCTACAAAAGTGATACTGCCTCTAAAGGTCTTCTGTAGCATATGGCCTGTAAAGTCGTGTAATGTACAGTCTCTGTTCTGTCCTTTTTCTTGTTGGAGAGAAGTGCTAGGTAATGTCTCTGTTACATCTATGGTGCTGTATTGGTTGTACTTTGCATGACATATGTCAGGATATACCATTTGCTGTTTTCTAGTGTTACATGTGTTAAAAAAAGAACAAAAAAAAGTGTTGTACAAGGCTGTGAAGAACCCTATTGATATTAATCTAGAGCATTATAAATCTACAGGAAAAAAAAATCACTCTGCACTAGTTTAAGTGGCACAATCCTTTGTATAAGGTTATATGATAGCTTTGATAAGGGTCCACTCTAATGTCTTTACAGAGCATGCACTACTCATTGTATGTGACACTGTGCAGTGTAATAGCAATTGTCTCAACAAGTTTTACACTTCTTTGTAAAGTATGCCTTTTGAACAAATCTGTAAGCTGTTTCACGATAACCTTTCCACATCTGTAAGGTAGAGCAGTTTTATCATTAACTCTTTGAGGACTACAGTTATTTTCTTAAAGTAGCTTATTCTAGTTCAGAGACACTGTATATACGATATCGTCTATTTAGTTACATGATCAATGTAGTCCAGAGTTGTCAGGAAAGAGAAAGTTCAGTCATTTTCCAAAAACACATCTTCTTAGAGTCCATCTATTCATTTCATCACTTGCTTTCTGAAAACCCATTTCCTCCCTTAGCAAATTTCAGATTGTCTTCATCCTTTAATGCAAATTTGACCTTCAGAGAAGTTCTTTGTGTTCAGGATTTCTGCTGAATCGTAGGGCATTCCAGGGTCAGTGCCATTAACAAGGCTCTTGGCAAGAAATTTTTTCATGTTTCCATGAACATCTGGACACAAAGCATCAACTCACAGTTCAGAACTGCATCATAATTATCCCTATATGAAATAAAACTGGTTTTTTCAAATAGGAAGGGTGCAGTATAATCACAGTTTCCAAAAAGAGAATAGGAGCATAGAGCTGTGAGAAAAATGGCTACAGTGGAAAGCGAGCAGTGCATCCATAAATAAGAGAAAAAGCACAATTCTGTATGGCCACATGAGAAAGTTTGCTGTCGTGTCTTAACACAGGCTTATGTAATTGCTACATTGCTACAGAGAGAAAATAGAAAATTCCCTTGAGAGATCATTAGTCTGCAATTCTCTGTGTATGTTGCAGAAATCTTCACATACTTCAGCCCATTATTTTTCTGTTATTAGCAGTTTATTAGTCTCTACCTTTTTTTTTAATATGTAGGGATGCATTTCCTAATAGTGTACATAAAGATGACAATTGTAATTATTAGAATGTTATAAAAACATGTAAGTCAGATGAATGTGTTCTGCAGTGTTGCAGGTGGGAATTAGTACTCAAAGGGTTAATGCTCAGTATCTGAGTGCAAGAAATCTTGTTTTTCTGTATTTTTGTAAACTTGAAATATATATTGTAAACTCCAGCAGTGCAATGTATCCATCTCAGATTGTGTATTTTTGAAAGGTGAGCAAGAAGAATGCACTAGGTGGTTGTCAAGTTTTAAGCCAATATACAACAGTTTCATGACTGCTTCTTTAGCTAATACAAAAAAAAAAAAAAAGCCTGAGCTTTATTATGTATATGCTGTATATGCTTGAACTGTCTCTAAACTAAAATACAGTATTTTTCTTTGTTTGCATAATGAAATATTTTCTGTTTAATAATTATTTTCTTTTAATATTGCTTTTGCTCATTCCACATAGACAGTGAGCCCTAAACAAGCATAGACATAATGTGAAATAACACTTTTCTGTGTCTCAGCACTATGTATGTATATTCTGTAATAGCAAAATCCTAGGAGGTCTGTAGACCATTATGCAAAATATTACACACACACAGCCAAGTGAGATACTCACTCTGCAAGAACCCACTCAGTGAGCTTCTTTATTCAGCTTGTGTTTTAATCACATCTGTTATTTTGTCTGAGAGGCCAGATCCATCTTCATAATGGCTTACAAAGAAGTAAATAGGTGCTGCTTTCCACAGAATATCTTATGTGATAAAACTCTCTGGAATTTAAACATAAAATATTAAAACACTTTTCTTATTGTGTTAAAAATTAATTTAGTGAATATTTCTGGGCTAATTTGGAAGAGATGTGTTATGCAATAATCTGTTTGCATATTATTTTTTCAGAAAATATACAGTACAACTACAGAGTAGGAGAACATGATATTAAATAAATATGAAAATGTTTTGTAAAATCAAATTTGACCAAAATGCTTTTTGTGCTTTTGACTTTTTTTTCCTTAAGATAAATGAGAATTTCAATGCTTTGGGAGTCTGGCTTTGTTTTATTGTGGGGTTTTGGTCAATTATAGTCAGTGAAACATTACTACTTTACCTGATTTTCTTTCCTATGAAAATAAAGTCAATGAAATAACTGGAGTACAAGAGATATATTGTCCTAGTAAATTGCTCACGGACATATGCATGCAACATGTTTCAAAGTCACCGTTAGTTTTGATGATTCATTGATGGCATAAAAATGGCTGAGCAGATTTTTACTGTTCACTATCTGAGATTAAGCAAGAGAAATGTCATCCCAGAAAGACAGTTTTTGGAGAATGATGCAATCAACAGAAATCTGAAGGATTGTTATTACAGCACTACCAGGATAAAAATATGCTCTGATGCTATAGTGTTCTTCTCTGCATATAGAAACTCATTTTCATGACTAAATTTCAGATGATATGACTCCATTTCAAGTTGCATAGACTGTTTACAAGAATAATTCCTGCCCAGCCTCACAGACAGAGTTTTGGTGTACAAATAAAGCATACATTTTTGCGCATTATGCCTGATCATATGTGTTGTTACCAAGAAGTCTGTTGGTTTTGTCTCTACTAATATGACTGAGCAGTCGCTGTCAGTGGCCATAAACACATGTTCTCCTTCACCACACAGCTGCTTGCCAGCTACCCTGTGGGCACGCTATCCAGATGTTAACCCACCAAGGAAGCCTTCACTGCAGCTCTAAAGCATTCTTGCTGCCTAAACCAAAAGCAGTGTCTGTACTTAAAGCAAAGTCAAGGCCACCTTTGATAGATAACACAGGCAATTGAGCAGCCTCACTCAAACACTGAGGGCTGAAGGCAGATAAAACTAATGGAAGTGGCTTTAAGCAGTAGAATTCCTCCTCCCTCCGGCTCTCTGCTGAAACTACCTGCCTAGTAGGTCTGCTGCCTACAGACATCTGCCAAATCCAGAGAAATCCAGGCAAAATTAGTCAGCTTACCTAAATTCCTGGTTAGCTGAAATGAAAGTGAAACAGCACAACAGAGTTAATGATCAGAAAAGCTCAAGTTGGAGGAAACCTTTTTGGAGGCTCTGTCACAAAGCTGCTTCAGATTCGTCACGTGTGGGGACATGGGTCTAAGCATCTTGGATGCCCTGGAGGTCTGAAATCACTCTGGAGCAGATACTGTTAAGGCTTACAAAGCTGACTGTGATGACACAAATCTGGAGGTAGCTTCTGCTGTAAATTATATGCCTTTTTACAATGAAGAGATTGTCTGACACGGGAGTTTTGTCCATTTGACTCTTGGGAAAAAGAAAGTTGTCATCAGGATCAGGCCGGTAACCTTTTTAACGCAAAATCTTCTTTGCATGGAAACAGAAAAAAGGAAGGCAGGTATGGTTCTCTGTAAAGCAGATCACCTGTACTCTCACTGAGTTTTTGTTGCCTATGATGAGAAATATCAAGCTGATGAAGACATTAGCAGCTCAGCAGCTTCCTTACCAGAACATAAGTTCCTGTACCAGCATCCTCCAGGTCAGAAGGAAGCTGTAGGAGGCAGCTGGATCAATCAGGATCCATCAGCTGGGTTTAAAAGCTAGCTGGCTGACTTCAGGCAAGCAATTTCAGTAGTAATGCAGTGCTCTAGGCAGCTTTTAGCTGCTTAGTGAACTCTACAGAGAAGGGAGATTTTGGTTTGGTTGCTTATCTTTTGCTGTGCCCTGACCATTTTTTGATTAGCAATTGAATTGCTAAGAAGAAAAGTTACTCTATAAGTTACCATGACTATATAAACTGTGGCTTTTTGTTCCTTGTTACTAGGTCTGTGAAGGTGCAAGTGAATCCCTCTTCCCTTATTCTACAAGTTTATTGCCTGAGTTTTCCAGGAGCCCACAAGCAAGCATCAGTGAATTCAGGACAGTATTATAGGGCTTGCTTCTCTGTAAGAAGGGTTGAAACTTGGTTTGCAAGCTCTCAAGCAGTTCAACCTCAGACAAATATCCTGCCTTAAGGTTGTGCAGCTGGCCATGCCTGAGAGGTAAGGGTTTTTTTGTAAACATGGTGTCTGTATACCCCATAGATACTACTGTCTCTTTACATTTTCATCTGCTTGAATTCTGTAGTGCCTTGCAGTCTGAACAACAAAATGACTGTTCCCGTCAGCCTGTCACTCTGCTCCAGCTGTTCCCCTTAACCTGCAGCGCA